AAAAAATTTGGTATTGCAAGTAATGCTTTACAGAAGAAAACAGGTGTGTAATGAATCTGCAATTCTCTATAAACTCTCCTTGCAGATACCTTACCCAGGGAAATTGTGCCCGAAAATGGTGAAATGTTATCGATTCCACTCTACCATGGGGAAGCGGACATAAAAGCCTTAGTCGATGCAATCTTTGGGTAATGAGTTTTCATCTAATTGAAAGAAGGTTTTTATATGAATCACAGTTAATTTGTAATTTGACAAAAACTGCGAGTCAACGGCGCATTAACTGTGGGTTAACTGGCAGTTAACTCGCAGTTAACTACGAGTAAGCTCGCAGTTAACGTGTAAGGAAACGAGAAATCCATAAAAAAATTTTGTACAAGAGGATGCAGCGATAAGAACTGCAAACGATTGAAAAGAGCAAGTTCCAAAAATTTTGAAATCCCAAAAAATAATTAATCTAACTGAGCAAACTCGGGGTTGATTTACAGTTAATCTCCAAGTTAGCTCGCAGTTGAATAAAGAAATAAAATTGCTGACTGCATATTTTAGTGTTAAGGCGAGATAGCGTTGTAATAGAGACGCAGGTATAACAGAGCTCATATCATCAAAAAGTACTATGGAGTACTTTTTATGAAATGAGCACATTCATACCGTGTCTCTATTCCTAACCGCACTATCTCACCCTATCGTTGTAATGCGGAGTTAACTCGCAGTTACATTTCATTTCTTGAAAGATCAGGTAACCTGGCGGTTACCTACGAGCTAGCACCAAAATCAGACCAGTGTGGGGTATTGACACAAACATTGCCCGTTATACGCATAACACATTAGATCAAGTTACTTCAAAAAACAACAAGAATTAAAATATCATCCCATAGAGTCTCTCTTAGTAAAGCTTTAGAATGTCGAGCAATTATGATTTGTAGTCTAGTGGTATAGGCAATAGTGTAAAAGATCAACCATCAGCGGATTCAATCTTGCTGGGGTCTCATGGATTTGCAACGAACATTTCTTCCTATAACTGGCAGTTAACTCGCAGTTAGGTTCTCATTTCAAATTGGAAGTTAACTGTTAATGACGATCGTTAACTCCGAGTTTCGCTTAGATTACTACCCCCAGATAAATTTAATACTTTAATGGCTCAGAATATGCTATTCTTTGTTGACTTATTACATTGGCAAGTTATGGAATAATTTTATCACATATACTGACTACAATAGTTAACGTCCCCAAACACAACATAAATTTCAGACGGCACCCAACAACACCACCTCCGAGCGAACCAACAACGCCAGGTAAATTTGAGATGCTATACGTTTTACTTCAGAGTTGTTTTCATATTGTACAGGTTACGTGAACTTTTTAAGAAAAGCCAAAAAAGAACTGCTTGTTCATCGGGGATCTTTATAATTACCGGAACGACACTGAATCTTACAGACGTGTAGGTATTTCGACCGCGTATAAAAGTTTTATGCAAATTTCGGTCTAATTGAGGAGGCTGAGCTTTTAAATAACGTTGGATACGACGTCTTCGCGGAAACACCGAGTTCGCATATTGCCTTATGGGCATATGGTTATACAGATTTTCCGCAAATCGTCAATGCTTCGCTAAAGGATATGAGCGAAAATTACGAGGAGTTTGCGGCGCTTATAGCCAAACTGGACTACGTTAACGTCAGCAATGCGATGTCCACAAAAAGGTGATATGAACTTCCTGGAAAAAAATGTGAGAGTTTTCTGGAATTTTTTTAGTATTTCTTTTTTAGCGCTATTCAAGCAATCAATGAAATGTATGACATGGAGAAGCGATTGGACTGCTTGGTCTTTCTTACTGCTCAGTAAACTCAATTTTATACGCTCCTTTTTCGAGCCCATTCTCAACGAAAATGCTTTTTTTT